TGGAGCTCTCGGTCCTGTGCAAGGAGTATGCTGAGGACGACAATATCTACCAACAGAAGATCAAGGACCTCCACAAAAAGTACTCGTACATCTGCAAGACCAGGCCCGAAGGGAGCTGCTTCTACTGAGCCCCCGGCTTCTCCCACCTGGAGGCGCTGCTGGATGACAGCAAGGAGTTGCAGAGGTTCAAGGCTGTGTCTGCCAAGAGCAAAGAAGACCTGGTGTCCCAGGGCTTCACCGAGTTCACAATTGAGGACTTCCACAACACGTTCATGGACCTGATGGAGCAGGTGGAGAAGCAGACCTCAGTAGCCGACCTGCTGGCTTCCTTCAACGACCAGAGCACCTCGGACTACCTGGTGGTCTACCTGCGGCTGCTCACCTCTGGCTACCTGCAGCGGGAGAGCAAGTTCTTCGAGCACTTCATTGAGGGTGGGCGGACTGTCGAGGAGTTCTGCCAGCAGGAGGTGGAGCCCATGTGCAAGGAGAGCGACCACATCCGCATCATCGCGCTGGCCCAGGCCCTCGACGTCTCCATCCAGGTGGAGTACATGAACCGCGGCGAGGGCGGCACCACCAACCCGCACATCTTCCCTGAGGGCTCCGAGCCCAAGGTCTACCTTCTCTACCGGCCTGGACACTACGACATCCTCTACAAATAGGGCTGGCTCTGCCCGCCGCTTCCCTGCTGCCCTCCCCTCTGCCAGGCTCTAGACATGTACAGAGGTTTTTGTGTGGTTGTAAATGGTCATATTTCACTCCCCTTTCCCTGTCATACAACCTTCCACGTTTTATTAAAGGGGATGCTGATGGTGAAAAAAAAAAAAAAAAAAGCACCTGTAGAGAAGGTGCTTGCCTGTCTGTCTAACCTGGGAAAGTATCACTGGCTAGGGAGGCAGGCCCCAATGCAAGCTCACAGAATCTTTGAAGGGTAAAATCCGCAAACAAAGAGTTCCCTCTCTCTTGTGCCCCTTGTTCCCTTCACTCTCACTCTCTTTCTCCATGACCCACACTTGCCCACCACATACTTTCCTGCCATGTGGCCTTAAGCAGCAGCATGGCCCATGGCCATGCGGACCCCCCATGCAATGGACTGCAGCTGGGAACACAAGGTAAGTTAGCAGAATTCTGGACTAGACTGGAGTTTAATATGGAGGAGAAATTCTGGGCAGTGGCCTTAATTCTAGCCCTGCTGACGAGGAGATTGGACTTCTTCCGTGGCGAGACAGACAGAAATGGGACCTTGGAGGGGAACCCCCTTAATTTTACATCATCAATAAAACTTTCCACAATACCCCAACCTCCCTTGGGGGGGGGGGGGCTCAGGAAATTCTTTTCCCGATGGCACCTCAAGAACTCCACTTCCAACGATAAACAATTGAGTTGGCTTTGCTGCAGCATCTTTCTACTATTTAGTGAAGTGAGAGAAAGCCTCAAATTCAAATGCTAAGCAGTACACTGACCTGTTTCCATTGCTACCTAGTCAGTGGGCTGTTAATGTCCAGAACAAGCAGGGGTTGCCCTGAAAGAGGAGAGCCATTCCTTGCTGTTTAAGCGATAATTCCTGTTGGTAGCAATTTTCACAAAGAGAGAAAACACTGCTGGAAGAGGAAAAAAAAGTTCTTTTCCATTGTCTATTCCTATATAAGGTCAAAAATAATCTATTGAAAGGCAGTGGGGGGAAGAAAATCTACCAGATAACTGGTGCTTTGTCTGGACTAGGTCAAATGATTTTTTAAAAACTAATTAACTGCAATGAATGGTTGTTTGTGCATTGGGTGGGAACAAAGATTTGAAGATTCACCTACACAGACTCTGCTAACTTGAAGATGGTGATAGAAGATATTGTTTATTGAGTGTTTATGGTGAGCACATTGTGTAATCTCCAAAAACCTAATGAAGTAGGTGCTATCATTGTCTTTGTTGTACAGTGAGGACATGCCCAGTATCACACATGCAGCAGAGCTAGAATATGAACCCAGGTTGGTGAGCTTCAAAGACATATGTAAAACATGCCAGAGAAGAGCTCATTCTTATGAAAATTTAACTTGCAAATGCCTACAAATCTATGTGAGTTGATAGTAAAAACCCAATCATGATAGGCCAAAAATGACAAATAACCTATTTTTCTTGAAGAATCATCTTTTGAAAACACTTTCACCATCACTATTTTATACCACTTACTCATATCATTTTGAAGATTGCACAAGATAGTTTTTATGTTTGAAAGTCCCTAAAATTGGAAGTAATACCCATCCATTTATGTAATTTTTTTACAGCATGTGTAACATACTTTCGGATGATGGTGTTGATGCGGTTGGGCATGGTATATGAAAAGAAAATAAGTTTAGAATAAGAGTAAAACATAATGTGTCTTAAATTTGGGCATGCCAACCCATTACTTAAGTGTTCTATATCTGTATACTTGGAGTAATATAGTAACATAGATACTTTGGTTATCTGACAAAGAAGAAAAATGAGATAATGTACAAGTATTTAGAATGCCAAATTCAAAGTTACTATGTTGTTATATTTCACGTATATAACATATAAAATTGCATTGTATCTTTATTTAAAATTTTTTAAAAATCTTTATGTTGAAAGTATTACAAATGTCCCTTTCCCCACCATTAACCTCTCCTAACCTTCCCTTACCCCCTGCCCCAGGCCGTCACCACCCTATTGTCTGTGTCCATGTGCATTATATATTTAGATATATCTCATACTAGAGGCCCGATGCACAAAATTTGTGTGTGGGTAGGGTCCCTAGGCCTGGCTGGCAATCAGGGCCGATCTGTCGAGCGACCAACAAGGTGATCGGGGGCGGGGGGGAGGGGGCCATTGGTACCCACCTTGGCCAGCCTGGTGCCTCTCGCTCCAGCCGGGTGATCTGGGGCCAGCACTGGCTCCCTTGCTGGCCAGCCCCCACCCCCAATCACCCTACCACCGCCACCGCCGGTGACCTCCCTCTGTGGGGTGACCAGCCGGGTGATTGGGGGGCCCCTCACTGGCACCCACGTTGGCTGACCTGGGGCCTGTGGGCTGGGGGCAGCTCCTGCGTTAAGCATATGTCCCCTAGTGGTCAATGTGCGTCATAGCAATCGGTAGCTCCACTGGTCATTCTGCTATTCGTTTGATTTGCATATTAGGCTTTTATTATATAAGATATTTTCCAAACCCTGGTGGCTCCACTTCCAGGACATATTTATGGTCCTTCCACTTATACCATCTCCACTGCTACTGCGGTTCAAGCCACTGTCTTCTCTTGCCTGGGTTATTACAAAAGGCTCTTAACAGTTTTCTTTGCTTCCACCTTACCCACTTGTGATCTGCTGGATCCTATTAAAATGTAAGTCAAATAGTGACACTCACATGCTTAAAACTCTCCAGTAAAAGCCTTTACTCAGAGTAAAAGTCCTTATGATGGATTTCGACATCACCATTGATCTGCCCTGTTTCCCCCATCAACCCTCCGATCTCATCTATAATTCTCTCCCTTATTAACTCTGTTCCAGCTACACAGACTTCCCTGGTGTTCCTTAAACATCCCAGGGACAATTCTGCCTCAAGGACTTTGGGCTTGCTGTTCCCTCCGCCAAAAATGCTGTTTTCTTCCAAATCCTCACTTCCTTCAAGTCTTATGTAAATTCAACATACCTGAGGGACCTTCCCTAAGGCCTGGGATTAGTCCCAACCCCCGCACTCCCTATTCTTCACATTCTACTTTATTTTCCCTTCATTCATAGCACTCCTTATCACCTGACAAATTTTTGTTTGTTTATTGTCTGTCTCTAGAATGTAAGCTCCAGAGCATTAAAAACAATTTAAAAATGAATGAATGAATGAATGAATGACTTAGTCCTCATTCGGGATTGACAATAGAATAGGAAAGAATCTACCCTTGAAAAACTGGTTTGAAAGCAGATTTTCATAACACAAATTCTGTTTGCCCATCACTTATACACTTTAACACAATTTAGCAAAAGGGGTTTTAAGTTTCCAACAGTTTCCATTTTGAGCTGGTGATAATCAAAGTTATAAGAGAACAGAAGAAACATTAACAGTTTGCTGTAAATCTATGTAAGTTCCACGAAAGCGGAGACTGTTTCCTGTCTTATTCACCATTGCTTTCTTAGCTCTTTCTTTTTTTTCCTTTTTCTTTCTTTTATTTTTAATAACAGCTTTATTGAGATATAATTCACATACTATAAAATCCACCCTTTTAAAATATACAATTCAGTGTTTACTATTATTTTTAGAGTTGTAACAATCTAACAATTACCACTATCTAATTTTAGGATCTTTTTTTTTTTTCTTTCTTTTTAAAAAGACATGCTCAGCCCTAACTGGTTTGGCTCAGTAGATAGAACCTGGGCCTGCGGATTGAAAGGTCTAGGGTTGGATTCTACCTCAGTTGCAGGCCTGTCCAGGCCCGGCCCTGGTCAGGGCACATGTAGGAAGCAACCAATCTATGTGTTTCTCTCACATGGATATTTCTCTGCCTTTCCCTCTCTCTTCCATTTTCTAAAAATCAATGGACAACATTGAAACTACCAACTATAAGACAAACAGCTATCATTCAGAACCATGGGAAAGCTGGCCCAGTGGAAGTTCTACAACTGGAAGGAAAAAAAGAAGCGCATTGAGACTGAGTAGGAAATGCAGAGGCGCCAAGAACAGAGGTACGCAGTCACTCGCCAGGCAGGCTGCAACTGGATGCGTGGTTTTTTTTCAATCGGAAGGGGTTACAAACTCTCGAATCCACTGAGCTTGTTTGGGGCGGGATTCTGAGGTCCCAGACCCCTACGGGGAGAGGCGGGATGGTGGGGTGGGAACTGGGTGGAGGGGAGCTATGGGGGGGCGGGGGGAGAGAATGGGGAACAACTGTAATCGGAACAATAAAGATTTATTTAAAAAATAATCAATGGAGAAATCTCCTCGGGAGGGGACTAAAAACAAACAACCAGATAAACAAGACGGTGGGTAATCTGGTCAGAAGGTCAAACCTCCAAAAGCGCACGAAGCTGCTCTTCCTCTGAAGCCTCTTCTCCCCGCTGTTGCCCCTGGGCAAGGAAGGGGCCGTCAGGCGGTGGGGACTGAATGTTCTCCAGCATGTCCTGGAAAGCCTGCGGGGATGGCGCCTCCGCATTCTGGAAGGTGACCTGGACTCTGCTGTACAGGCTGAGGCAATTGGGTTCCTGCCACATGAACCCGAAGTGGTCTTCATCGAACAGGATGAAGGCTCCAGGGATGCGCTGGGGGTAGGCGGAGCCAGAGCGAGCAACAATGCCCACGCCGTAGAAACACATCCTGCAGGCTCGGGGGTAGTTCTGGTCCCTGGAGCTCACGCCTGCAGGTAGGACAAACTGGACAGGCTGCTCCTCCAAAGCTGCAGCCCCGGACTCCCCGACATTGGGCTGCGCAGGGCTCAGCCGGCCATGGCCCTCGCCGTCCTCAGTGCTGTCTTCTTGCTGCTGCTGCTGCTGCTCCTGGATCACCTGCTTGTGAACCTCCTGGACCAGACGGGAGTACTTGTTGAAATTGCTGAAGATATCATCCGGCAGGTGGATGCGGCGGCTGAGGTGGATGTCTATCATCTGCTGCCCAGCAGGGACGTGGTGGTCACCCGTGATCTTCGTGGCCCTGGCATGCTTCCCATGGAAGCTGAGCATGACAACCTCTAGGCTGTTGTAGGCATTGTAGGTGCCTTTGAAGAGGCCTGGCCTGATGAGGTCCTCCGGGTGGCTCGGGGAGAGGTAGATGCGGCGGTAGTTCCGGCAGTCGTCATACTGATGGTCGATGAGCTTCATCAGGACGAACCGCAGCCTGTCCTCCTGGAAAATGTGCTCGAGCGTCTGCCCCCATTCTTCCCGCAGCCACGCGCGTAAATCCTCTCGGCTCCCACCAGGCATCCTGTGGTGGTGCGTCAGGTTGCACTGGGTGGAGAGCCCGTCCTCCCGAATCTGCACGTGGCAGCTGTGGGGCCCTCGGCGGCCGTACGTGCACTGCACTGTGGGCGATTTCCCCTCTGCCAGGTGAATTCTAAACGCGGGCTTGAACTGCAAGGAGTCATCCACGCGGGGGTCATGGAGAGGCAGGTACGTGCGACCAACAATGCATGGGCCCTCCACCACTACATACAGCAGTCCTCCATAGGGCCAGTTATCTGGCTGCCACAATCCCAAAATGTGCCTGCATGGGTGGAGCAAGTTGGCATAGAGTTCTCGACAAGACACAGCCATCGTCCCCGGGCTCCTCAAGTTTTCAACGGCGCCGTACTCCTCCTGGCAGCGCCGTCTCCAGATGCTGTCGGTGTGCAGGATGCTGCGGAATCTGGTGCAGGCCTGGGCCAGGCTGGGCAGGTCGGTGCCGGGGAGCGAGGCGAAGATCTCCACCAGCAGCTCGGGAGGCAGGTGCTGCAGCGAGCAGCGTGGGGGCGGCCGGGGTGGCATGGGGCTCCTGATCGCTCCACTCCCAGCAGAGGACCGAGCCGCCATGTCCGCCTCCACGTGCTGCCCTTCAGGGGCTGGGGCCGGCTTACTGTCGGCCGCCACCATCGCAGCTGGTCCCAGGCGCTGCTGGCGACACTGGCATCCTCGTGAAGGGCCCCGGCCGCAGAGGCAAGCGTACTCCTCCTCCATGCCTGGCGCAGTAAGCAGCGCGGACCTCTGCAGCCTGGCTTTAAGCTGGCACCTTCCCGCCCAAGAGCCCAGCCACGCCCCCTTCAGGGCCTAGCCACGCCCCCTCAGAGAAGAGCTGATTATAGGACTTGAGCAACACTGGAGAAACCCATTACCCCTTAATATTCGCCTCCTGCCGGAAGCCTGTCTATCCTTGCTGCATGACACAGTCGCTGCAGGGAAGAAACATCTGCACAGCATGTATTTCAAGGGACCTGGCCTGTATGGCATTCTGTTCTTAATATGTTTGCTCCCCTTTCTTGGTGCTATGTGTTTTAACCAAGGTCACCTCTCCAAGAAAGGTTGTTTCCCCAGGTAGGGATTTTCCCCTGAAGTTAGGGTGGGAATAAAACCCCTTAACTAAATGCCAGGTGGGTATTAATCACTTTAACTATGAACAATCACCCTTAAGCTACATAATCTTTACTCCCTGGAATGGAGATAAGAAACGCCCTAACCTTTGGAATAGAAATTAACAGGATTAAAATCAACTGGTATAAATACAGCTGTAACAAGACAATAAAAGACAGAACTTGCTGGAGATCCTGGCTAGGCTGCTGATCAACTGAACGCTGTCTCCGTGTCCTTCCTTCTTCGCCGACTCTGTCCACACCTTTGGGAACCCCTGGACCTGCTGGGGCTGGACTCCAACAGCCTCCCTTTCCCAGGGCTCCCTCCCTGTCCTCCCACCCTAGCCCTAGCCCCAGGCCGTCACTAATCTGCTTTCTGTATGGATATGCCTCCAGGGATATGCCAATGGGGACATTGCACATAAATGCAGTTATAATATCCTGTCATTTGTGACTGGTTTCTTTCACTTAACATAACATTTTAAAGTTTTATGTATGTTATTTCATGTCCTGGTATTTTGTTTCTTTATATTGGCGAAGAATAGTCTAGTGTATGGGTATACCACATTTTGTTTACCCATTCATCAGTTGATAAATATTTGGGTTGTTTCCAGTTTTGGGCTCTTATGAATAACACTGCTATGAACCTTATGTACAACATTTTGTGTGATCATGTTTCCATTTCTCTTGGGTATGTACCTAGAAGTGGAACTTTTGGATCATATGGTAACTATGATTTAACATGTTGAGGAGCTGACAAACATTTTCCAGCCCTCCCTGGTTTGGCTCAGTGGATAGAGCCTCGGCCTGAGGACTCGCTTTTCTCAGCTCTTTCAATAGTGCTTAACAGATAGTAGGTACTCAGTAATAATTTATTGAACAACTGTCCACTTTTTGTACATGTTCCCATTAACGCAATCTTATGGAAGCAAATAGCAACCTAACTCTTGTATTGATGTCATCAGACAGCTTTCTAAACAATGAATTTTAATAGGTATACCTCCGTGTATATTTGCATTATTATGTAACAAGTTTGATTTCTCCATTGAAATCTGCAGTGCTGTTTCTTAAATACATTGAAGGACAATGCTAATGTGATTACTCCTGCTTTATTTGTTACACATTTTCTGGTTTTGATTCTGCTTTGTAATTCAGTTGATTCATTCCCTGATGTATTTGTTGAGCACCTACTGTGTGAAAGTCTGGTTAGATGTAGTCATTGCGCTTTAGCAGAGTCCAATGAGGGTGATGGGCCCAAACTAGGTTACTGGCCATGAAGTACTTGGAAGAAGCAAAACTTAATCATGGCAGGATTCGACAACTGATTGAATGTGGGGGCAAAGGAAAGGAGGATTGACTTTCCTGGCTCCTGCTGCTGTTCATCCTGCCCTTCACCATAGTCATATGGAGAACATCCCTGAACTCCTCTGACGTGAGGCCCCGTGGAAAAACCTGCATGCTGTGCATGGAATACAGAAGCTCACAAATCAGACTCAGATGGGGACTTGAGACTCAAGGGGAGGAAAAGTTTATGGTGCAGTTCTTATGTTAGGATGTCTGTAGTTTGCTTGAAGATAACTCAGCATAAAATGAGTTTTATAACATGTTTGTTATTTAGATTAAACTGCAACCTAAGTGCATTCTGATAGGAGATTACCAGAGGTGGCTCTCCTGCACAGATGGTGTTTCTGTGATGCATAGTCGCTCTACTATTTAGTAGAGTGAGTGTCAGAATGACTGTTTACTGGTATAATTACATGACTTGTTAAATAGCAGGAAGTGAGTTAGAAACGGGTAATTTCAAGATTTATTGATTGGTGAAATATTTTAGATGCGCTCCATACCTGCAGGTAGAACATAGAAAAATCGACAGAATCCTGATGTATGTACCTGTATGAATGGTGTCTTAGACCACGGTTCTCAACCTATGGGTCACGACCGCTTTGGTGGTCAAACCACCCTTTCACAGGGGTTGCCTAAGACCATCCTGCATATCAGATATTTACATTATGATTCATAACAGTAGCAACATTACAGTTATGAAGTAGCAACGAAAATAATTTTATGGTTGGGTCACAACAGGAGGAACTGTATTTAAAGGGCTAGGGTGGTTAAGAACCACTGTCTTAGACTAAGAGGATCCTTGTCTCTCTAGAGTGGCTAGAGCATCTGGAAACAAGAAAGAAAGAAAGGCCAGGGTGGAGGGAAGTGGGAAGGAAGGGAAAGAAGTAAGAAGGGGAGGGAGGATAACATTAAACATACATTTTTTATTTTTTTATTTTTTCTGGCATTCCTGATTTGCTGAAGCCTTCATCAAAGCTTTGTTGGCCTAGTGTACAGCCCAGCAAAGCCCACCACAATGCTGTTGTCACTTAGGCTTCTGGATAAATCATCTGGGCATTTTGTGCCTGGTTACTTGTATTCAATTTCTCCCTGCAAGATGCATCAGGTGATAGAAGAGCAGCTCAAGGATAGGGAGAGAAGGCAACTGAAAGTCAAAGGAAGGTAAGAGCAAAGAACCATGAAGGGCCCTATGAAAAATTGAGAAGAGTTAGGGGCGAATTGCTGAAAGATATTATCGCTGCCTGGTGCCCTCAGGGCAGCTGCCAGTTGGCATGATATTTTTCACGTTCCTTTACACAACTGAAAGCCTATGACCTTGCATTATTTATGAGGCAACTGAATATTCTTGCTCTAAAATGAGTTTTCAGACCTCTGCTTGGTATTTGATTAAAGAAAATCAATCTCTGCATCAGTTTTCAAGCACTCATTTTCTTTCAGTCCTTCAGATTTTCTCTGTGTTAGTGCACTAAAACTGTTAACTTTCCATAATATCCATGAATTGTCAGACATGGAGAAACATATTACCAAATTTAAGGTATAAAACATGTCCTGCTTGCTTTAGTCTTTCTCTTTAATTATAGTTTTCAGAACTTAAATTATACAGCTGTCTATCAAAATGTGCAAATAAAAAAAAAAATCCCTACCTTGACACAACCAAAATAAGATATTTTTGTGCATAACTAAATTGCATGTTTACCTTCAATATACTTTATTCATTACCTCACAAAGAATTTATTTTGGATATTTAAGAAGCTTTCTTTTTAAGTAATGTCCTGATTCATGCTGCGACATGGATGAGCTTTGATTCCATTGGTATGAAATGTCCAGAACAGGCAAATCTTTAGAGACAGAAAATAGATTAGAGATTGCCTAGGGCTGAGAAGTGGGATTCGGGGATAGGAATTGACAGCTGATGGGTATGAATTTTCTTTTATAAGGGATGAAAATGTTCTAAAATTAGATTTCAGTGATGTTTGTGAGCCATCCTGTTTTATTTCCCTTTAACCCCCAACAAATTTGCACATAGGAGCACATACCACTTTAAGTACTGACATAGCAAAACCACATAATTGCATTTAGTGTTATTCAGCGGTGAGACATGCGATTGTTTATAACTCATCTTTCACAAGTTGGAATGTGGCCAGTGATTTCAAATCCATACACAGGGTGCGATGTTTCCCAGTATAATTAACAAGTGAGAATTGAAGTGGCTGGTGCTGTGCATCTCGTTTTAGCCCAACCACCAAACCATCCTGCAAAACCAGGAACTACAACATAGAGAAAGAAATTATATTTCAATAACAATGCTCCATCTGCAGAAAGTCAAAGCCGATTACACTCACTTTTCATTTTCTCTGTCCACATTGTGAGGACCCAGGCCAGTCAGAGGGATAAATCCCTGTTAGAATTTTTTTTGCCTGCTACCAGTTGTGCAATGAATGAACAAATACATACACAAAAGGAGATAGGTTAAAGAAAATCACTTATGTGAAAGGCAATAACATAGTGTCTTAGCATATGATGGGTCTGTGATAAAGAAATGATATACTAGTTTCTTAAGTAGGAGGGGTTGTTTTCTGCTAAACAGAAAGCAGGCTTCAACTTGAAGCTTTTTCCTAATACATATTTGCTGTTTTGCTATCTGGGGGATTCCGAGTATAATTAGTGATTTTCAGTATGTAGACCTTTGCTTATTGGGTAGGAGCCAGAGGACAGAATATATATAGAAAGATGACATAGTTTTTGTTTGTAGCTACACTTTGTTAGATGGAGGGAAGGACATTGAATCTGTTTGGTAGGTGTTGGTGTTTTTAACCTTTCACTCTGGTCTCCTTTGAGAACTGTCAAGAAATTTTTAAATTTTCACTCTTCTGCTCTGACACCTACAAATCAAGAAGTTATACACATCCTAAAAGACAAGGACATTTTTCCAATTTAGCAGCCCTAGCCTTCCAGCTGATTTGAGAGAGGTGTTGAATGCATACTAGTTCATACCATGCCAAATTGCTTTGACCCGCAACAGTAATGGGAGACAGAGAGATTAGAGAATTCAGAGAAAACTCAAAGCACAGCGCGCCGTCTCTGCAATTATGTGGGATATCCCCATAGTGTTGGTCTTTGTCCCATTCTTGGCACAGAGCTACTAAAACCCTTTGAATTTCCTAAGTGATGAGAGTGTAATATGAGTGATTAAGTGTCTCTCATTCATAAAAAACCCTTTTTAACCACACATGAGTTTATGTTAATGGCCTGACTTTTGGAAAGCCTTGTGGATGGGGGCTGGTTGCCAGGAAAACCAAGTGCATGTTTAGGTATTTGGAACTTCCAGACCCTCCACCCCCAGGGAGGGGACAGGGGTTGGAGATGAGTTCAATCACCAATGACTTAATCAACCATGCTTAGGTAATGAAGTTTCCATAAAACCTCCAAAGGATAGGATTTGGAATATGATTTTTTACCTTTTTTTAAAAAAAAAATTTTTAAATTGATTTCA